CCCCCTGTGCCCCCGCAGCCAACCCCCTGTCCGGCAGCCTCTCCACACACTCCCTGGACCAGCCTTACCTGCACCAGAACAGCCACAACGCCCCGGCCGAGCTCCAAGGTGAGTGGGAACCAGGGGTGTGTGGGTGCAGCCCCGGGCTCCTGCAGGCTGGGTCTCCCAGGCTGAGCGCTGGCTCCCAGAGCACCCTGGGCCTTGCTCTGTGCCGGGGAGACCAGCCCAAAGCCCGGGATACTTTGTTTCTCTTTCTCTTCTAAGGGCACAGAGGCCCTTCTCCCCAAAACTCTCAGACCCCAGTACTCTAAGTCCTGTTGGGTCCCTTAGTCCCCCGCACTCCTCAGAAAGGCCTCTGTGTGGACCCCGGGGACAGCAGGCCCACCGATCCAATCCCTGCCAGTTCCTCATACGCTGCTGGCCTGGGCAGAACCGGAGAGCTAGGCCTAGGCCCAGAGCCCCTAGCCCCAGCCTTTCAGGGTCACCCTGCAGGCCTCAGGACTCTGTTTCTCGGGACCCAGGTTTTCAGGCCCCCAGGTCACCAGACCAGGCACAACTCCCATTCCCATACCCCACCCCAGAAGGAGGCTGTGCCTTCTGGGCCTAGCAGGGAAGGGGCTCAGCTGGATGCCGGGGTTGGCAGGCTGCAGCCCATGGGAGGCAGGAGCCTGAGGTAGGCTGTGGGGCTGCCCTGCTGGGGCCGGTTAAGATCCCGGCCTCGACTGCCCCGGGCGACATGTGGTCCAGGGGATCCTACCGAGGTTCTCAGCGCCTGCCTGCCGCTGCTGCTTGCTGGCCTGCTGTGGCCTCTCTCTCCACCCTGGCCAGAGTCCCGCCACGGAGGTGGTGTCGGAGGAAGTGCAGGCGCTGCGGGCCCTGTCCCATGGCCTCCCTCCCCGTTCCCCTGCGGCTTAGGGAAGTGCAGTGTGTGAGGCTGGAGAGGCCTGGGCAGAGCGAGCTGAGCTTGGGGAGCAGAGCCTGCGTCGCTCTGGATGGTTCCTGGGACCTCTGGTGGCTTGTGGCAGCGGTGTGCGCCCGAGCCGGGCTGAGCCCCCAGGGCCCGAGGCAGTGCTGCTTCTCTGCCCCGAGGCCTGACCCCCTCTAACACCTGTGCTCCCCACCTCTGTGTCCCCGGGCCGGCAGGCATCCCCAGGTATCATTCACAGTCGCCCAGCATGTGTGACCGAAAGGAATTCGTCTTCTCTTTCAATGCCATGGCCTCCTCGTCCATGCACTCGGCCGGCGGGGGCTCATACTACCACCAGCAAGTCACCTACCAAGACATCAAGCCCTGCGTGATGTGAGTGGCTCAGGACCCTCCCGGCACTGGCCGGCGGCGGGGCCGGGCAGCCACTGCCAGAGACCGCTTTTTTCTTGAGGTATAACCGTCAGCAGGAGAAGGAGTTCGGCCGTCCCCGGCCGATCGTTTGGAAAGAAATCCCGGAGGCCCAGAGCCAGCACTGCGACGTGCGCTCTTCGACTGCCCCATCCCCTCAGATCTTTAGAGCTTGTTTAGGACGGCGGTGGGGATGCCCAGTGGACGGTGGCCGTGGGGAAGGAGCATCTGTCGTCGGTCCTGTCCGGGCTGGCCGGGCTGCAGAGGTGCAGCCGGGACAACCTGCAAACCTGCAAAGGAGAATTCTGCCGAGAGCCCTCCCGGCACCCCTGGCCGAGTGGCGGGAGGCTTTGACGAGAAAGGCAAACGAGGAGACCGATCATTATCAAATACTTTTATTTTTTGGTTGAGTATTTATCTTTTTATTTTTAACTCTTCCGAAAGAATGTCTTGGAAAGCACCAGCCTCCCGTTAGAGTCCTCTTTTTGGAAGAGGGGAGGGGACCAGGCCCGGCGCTGTCCTGCCCCATCTCTGATGCCTCCTCCACTGACACAGGTGGATCTTTGTGCGAATAACTTGTGTTTCTGAAGCCACTGTTCCTCTTTAGAAGAAAACAGAAGGAGCCAAGAAGCCGGCCAGCTCGTGCGGCTGTCCAGGCCTCTGCCGTCCCTGCCACCTTCCCCTCCTCTCACTGTTTTGAGTTTCGGTTTTCCCTTGTCTGTGGGTGTTTTCTCTCTCCCAGTCTCTACTGTAAACTTTCTGGTCCCAGGACGAAGCTAATGCGGCCAGAGGCAGGGACGGGGAGGCCCGGGACCTCGAGCTCCTCGTCGCGGTGACGCAGAAAGGTTAAGGCACTTTTAAAATTCTAGCAAGGCTCTGTCTGTTATTTATTCTACTTTCTTTCCCTAATAATCAAAACCCCGCAAAGGCTCCTCCGTTTATCAGTATTAATGGTGTAACTTTGTTGGCAATATTTGCCATGTAGAATTTGTTTTAGATTTCCATTGTAAATTTGAAACAAAGACCAAACCCTGTAAAAACAAATTTCCATATGTTTTATATAAATATATATATAATATGAAGGACTACCCCCCCTTTTTAGTATTTTGGCTGCTGGGGTGCAGCGTTTGTGACACGTATTTTCATTTTCCTTCTGCACTGTATAAAATGACGATTTGAGGATGTTTTGCCTTTTGTGTATTTTTTTTCCTAAAAAAAAGAACAAAAATAAAAATGTGTAACATTTGTACGTGGCCTTGTGAATTGTATCAGCTAGAAATAAAGTCGCATAGGTATTGTACTGGGATTGGGGTTGCAGGATATTTCTCGGGTCCCACAGAAAGGCTTTGATTCTCCAGATCTTCTAAGGACTCAGAATGTGGGCAATTTGGAATACCTTTTTCTTGTTCTTTTTCTTTTTCGGCTGATCCTGCTCTTTTCACTCTTCGTTTCACGTTGAAGTAAAATCTGGACAAGAGTAACTGTTTTTCTTGGCTTCTGTTTTTTAAGAAGAACCTCTGCCCCTCTAAATGTCATTTCTCGTTAAAAAGAAATAATGAAATGTTTAACGAAGGACTCTGATCTTTTTTCCCGTGGGGAAACCAAGCAAGCCATGCACGTACGTGCGCATCTCACATACGCGTGGTGTGTGTTATGTACGTAAATGTATTGATGTGATAGATACAGATATAATTTTTTGCTAGCCCAAGACCAATGCGAATGTTACTTCAAGCTTCAACATTACTGGCCCCACATTCTAGCTGTTAAAAATCATAAAACAGCTTCAAAGTTTTGTTTTGGTTTGGTTTGGTTTGGTGGTGCCTTATACTTGGTTTTCTCAAACGAAAATTGAGTTAAATTTGAGCAAGAAAAGGGCTACTGGAGGGGAAAGCAAGGTTATAGGCAAATTTCCAATCCGGCAATATTTCCCTCCTACATCATATTTTTTTTCCTCTCTGGGGAAAAACAAACAGGCTTGTGTCTTCTCTTGACTGCCCTTCTCTGTTCCTATTCAGCTACCTACGAAAACAAACACAGTAAGTCACATTGTCGCGTGACCCACCCCAGTGTCTGCACTGTGGGGTCTCAGTCTCCGAACCTGTGTCTTGTCAGAGCTGACATTTTGGACGTGGGGACATTTTCTCCAATGCTGTTACATCAAAATTATCAATAATCTGGCCCAGGCAATGAATGTCCCAAGCTCACAGCTGTCTATAAAATAGATATAAAGCGGACAAGAAGAAGCCTGCGGCTTTCTGCGCCACTGCTCCGAAGGCAGGAGCGCCCCACCTCAGGCAGCCCCTGCGCCCGCCCCGTCAGCCTCCCTGGAAGTGGGGCAGGCACCGCGTCTCCAGCCCCTGCTCCCCACAGGCCTAGGTGGTGCACCCCATGGTATGTCCTGGGGTGCCGAGGGGCCAGAGGGGGGCTGGGACCCCGCTTCCTGTCACCTCCGGCCGTGTTTTCCTTTCAGCAGTGTCTCCCACGTTACGGCTGGCTGGGCGGGTGGCAGAATCCCGAGAACTTGTATGGGGAAACGGGCCCAGGGTCCCTGGGGACCAGGCCCGGCTCAGTCCAGGCCAGATCTGCCAGATCTGAGGGTGAGAGGGAAAGTCTGACCTTCCAGGCTCCGGGCAACCCGGAAGGGCTGATCGGCCGGCGGGCGGAACTGCCCCCTCAGCCAGCACCCAGTCTGCCATTTTGGGCGCCCATGCTGCAGGCGGACGGCTCGGCCCTCTGTGGCTTCCCCAGGGTGCTGTGGGCCAGGGCTTGTCAGTGGGGTGAAGCTCTGCAGAAGCTGCCCTGCTGTTCAAGGTACAGGCTGGATCCAGAATCACCTCCACCTGAAAACAAGCAAACTGCTACCACGCACAGAGCCGGAGTCTGTCCTGGGAGCCATGGTCCAGCCGTACAGTCCCAAGTGCCTGCGCCCCTCTCCCCGTCCTAAAAGCCCCAGAAGGAAAGTGACAAGAACACAGACTTCTGCACAGCTGGTCTGCTGGGGATCTGAGCCTGTGGCTGGGCCCAGCCGCCCAGCGGCTTGCTCCCCGGAGCCTCTCACGGCCTGGAGCCGTCGCCCCCATAGAGCTCGTGGCTCTGTGCTGAAAAGCGCCCACCAGCTCTGTCCTGTTATTACCACTGCTCTGGGGGCCGGAGGCCTCAGATGGGCAGGTGGGCGGAGGGGTTGGTACCCCGATGGAGTCTCCATCAGGAGGAGGCCTGAAAGATGCAGCTGTGTCCCTGACTCACCACACCTGCCCCAGCAAGTCCTATGCCTTGGAGCTGCGGCTGCCTCCTGACTACGCCGTCCCCTGTGGGGCTGGCAGCGGTAGATGAAGAAGTTGGGCTCCCAAGGAGCAAGAGGTCGCCCAGCGCCCTGACACCCAGTCCAAGGCCACAGACTCCCCGCACTGGTCCCGGCCTCGTGGGGTGAGCAGTGCCTTGTGTTGGTTCAGGCAGCTGCCCTAAAAGCTCCAATCACCCAGGCATCCCGGCTTCCTGCCTTCCCAGGGGGGCCCCACGCCCACCCAGGGCTCAGCAGGGCGAGTTAGAACAGTGGGGGCCCCTGTGCCCAGCTCCACAAAGCCCCCAGAATGCTGCAGGAGTGGGCAGGGGACTGGGGTTCCCCACACGGGCACCGGGAGGTGGCCCCCCATCTGTGGTGCTGCTGCCTGCCGGTCTGCCTGTCCTCTCCCCATGAGGGCACTCTCCTGGCCTCTGCTGCCCTCTCCTGCCCGGAGCAGGCCTGGTGGTCCCCAGTCCTCCAGCGGCCTCCCTCCTTTGGGGGATTGGGGGACAGCCTGCAGAGGAAGCTGAACCCCGACCGGGAGAGGCTTTCTGATGTCAAAGCCCCGTCTCTAACCACGGAAGCGTGCGGGGGGGGGGGGGGGCGCAGGGCAACAGGTCCATATGGGAGCTTGAAGGGGCTGCCTGCCTCGCCTTCCCTGCACTCTTCTGCAGCTCCTGAGGGCTACACTGGGGGACACCCTGGGCTGAGCACACAGCCACACATGGGCCACTAGGGCCACACATGGGCCACCACATCCATGCAGGGTGAGACTCGGTGACTGGCATTGTTCTTGTCACCTTCCTCCTCCACCATCTCCTCAGGCCCTACCTCCTGGGCCCCACACATGCCCATTCCCGATGCTGGGCAGAGTCTTACGGGTAGCTCCAGTGCTAGCACACAGTGGGTGTGCGGTGCCCCAGCCAGGGGACGCTGAGGAGCCAGGGCCACCTGGTGGGGCAGCGGGAGAGAGCTGAGCACTGGCCACTGCCGGTGCCCACACGCCAGTCCTGCCCTGTGCATGTCATAGCCCTTGTGCCACAGGGTGGGGTGCAGCAGCCAAGAACGGGTCTGCGGAGTGCGATGTGCTGGGACCGCGGCATCTGACCAACTGCAGCATCCACGCAGCATCCTGTCATGGCTGTGTGAGGCGGAGGCGTCCCAGAACCCACTCTGGCCAGCACAGGCCGTTGGCGGCTTTCCACACGCCAGGCAGCCCTGTCAACCTCTGCAGGGCCTCCTGGTCCCAAGCCCACCCTCCGCAGAATGACAGGAGGTGGGGACTCTCACCCGCTTAGGGGAGGCTCCTCCAGGTGGCCTTGGGGACGGGAGGATGCAGGTGCCCGCTCAGCCCCAGGGCTCTTTGCTGTGACTTCCACCCCAGGATGGGAGCTCAAGGTTGTAGACGGTGAAGGAGGAGGGAAGGCTCAGGGGACCCCAGTTTCCCGTCCAGGAAGCAGGACGTCTAGCAGGCCAAGGACTGCCTGGCTGCGTCTGCGGGGAGGCAGCGCCACCTGCTGTCAACAGGCTGCAGCTGCTGGGCCAGGAAAGTCCTCAGACTGACTTCCCAGTCCTGGAATTCAGCCCCCAGGGGCATCGTTAAGGGTCTCAGGCTTTGGGGCAGGGACTGAGCTACTTTGGCCCTTTCCCGATGACACAAATGATAACTCTAATCTCAAATAGAAACCAGTTCTTCAGAAGGACAACATGGAAGTCACAGTCCCTTCAAGCTCTGCCCTAGCGGCCACTGGCTCAGGAGGCATCGCCCAGACCCATGGCCCCAGGAGAGACGGTCAAGGGCCAGTGGCCGGAGAAACCAGTTCTTCAGAAGGACAACATGGAAGTCACAGTCCCTTCAAGCTCTGCCCTAGCGGCCACTGGCTCAGGAGGCATCGCCCAGACCCATGGCCCCAGGAGAGACGGTCAAGGGCCAGTGGCCGGAGAAACCAGTTCTTCAGAAGGACAACATGGAAGTCACAGTCCCTTCAAGCTCTGCCCTAGCGGCCACTGGCTCAGGAGGCATCGCCCAGACCCATGGCCCCAGGAGAGACGGTCAAGGGCCAGTGGCCGGAGGATTGAGTTCGAGTCCTGCTTCCACTGCTCCCTGCCTCACGGGGCTCTACTCTGCGCTAAGAGGGGAGACAGAAGCGCTCACTCCTCACAGTGCATCCGTGAGGAGAAACTGGGCGAAGACAGTGACTTTGCCTCCCTGGCCCGAAGCTGGGCGGGTAGCGCTCCCAAGGACCAGGGAGGGACTGGGGCTCTGCTGGCTTTGGCACAGGGCCCTTGGGAGCCACTCGTTGTTCCCTGGGCCCGGCTTGCAGCTCCCCGCAGAGCTCAGGGCATAGTGCGCACCCCAGGGTGGCTGGAGTGTTTGGTTTGCTCACAGCTCAGCACCTCGGGCCGGAGTTTACAGCTTCCAAACCTCCACAGAGTGAAGTGTCCACAGGCGCAGGCACACGTCCACCCCATCTCAACTGCGGAGATTTATGGCCCTGGGCAATAAAGGCTTCCATTCACAGGGGAAATCCTGCCGGGAGAGGGCACAGGAGTGCGGCTTCCCACTGCAGCGCCTCTGCTCTGCTGTTGGAAAGGTTGTCTGGGAGGTGCGGTGAAAACCCCACCACCAGGACCCGAGGCGGGGCAGGCGGCCTGAAGCCCCGGCCCTGGGTCCTTGTGTGCAAAAGCAACGAGTGCTGGCCCCCGCAGGCCCAGGGCAGGCTGTGGCTGCTGTCCCTGCTCGTAGTGACTGCAAATGAGGGTGCCAAGGCTGGACACTCCTTGCAGGCCCCAGAGGCGCAGACCTGGCCTCGTTCTGTCCCTGTCCCGCTGCCGTGGGGCCTGGCAGAGCCTCCAACCCCGCTTTTCTCCTCTACACAGCACCCTGGCTTTTGCCTCTTTCTAGCCTCGGTGGCAAGGTGAGAACAGCCCAGGCTGGGCAAGAGAGCAGTTACCTCGGCTTCCCTCACTGGGGGACAGTGGGGCCCACGCCGGCTCTCGAGGTCTGAGATGGAGGACACTCAAAAGTGACCACAGGTGCATTTACAAGGCACTAACAGACACTGCAGTGAATGCTGAAATACAGAAACATTTTGTTACAGCAAAGGACACATCGTCACGAATCCCACTCAAATCCCCTCCCAGCGTCCCGGCCGCTTTCTGCAGCAGCTCTGGGGCCCTCTCGTGAGTCTTGCGCTGCGTTGTCCCAGCTGCCAAAGATGTCCGGAATCAATTCAAAATGTTTTCCTTTTGTGGTCATTTTGACTTGAAGAGCCAGAAGCCACACAGTGGCAGGTCCAGTGAGGGAGGGCACAGCATTGTTCTTATTTGACGGGAACTGATGTGAACGTTCTGAGCCGATTCAGGACACCGAGGCAGCTGTAGAAAGACACTTGGGACAGAGGACTCCAGAGCGGCCTCAGAAAGCGGCCAGGAGGGTGGGGCGAGTGGGTGCGAACCTGGGGGAGGATTTTGAGGGCATTCGGGGCAGTGCGTCTTTCACTGCAATGGATTTTTATTTAAATATTTACCATACCTTTAGATTACCCCTTATAAATGCCTGCGTGGATAACTTAGTATCTAACAGAAATATAAATTGCTATGTGAGCACCACAGTTTCAACCATTATCTGCGACTATAAATGAACTCGTCTTAATGTGGAACTGAGCACCAGCTCAGCGGCATCAAATGACAAACGTCGTTCATTTCAGTCCCATGCGTGGCAGGGGCGCGCGGCTCACTGGGGTTCCTTCCACACGGTGCCCTGTGTGCCAGCCTTCAGCTCTCTCCGAATGGGCAGCAAGGGTGGGGACGCCATCTCCCTTGGGCACGCTGCCACCAACTGGCGCAGGGTGGCTCCCGCCGGCCTCGGGAGGCCAAGTTTCTCAACACCCGCGTCTGAAGGCCCGGTCAAGGGGAGCTGCAAGGGCAGAGCTGGGGCCCATGCTGCGCTCTCTGGCTGGAGTAGGCAGCGCCCAGCCCTCCCTCTTGCCCTCACGTCGGGCTGGGCAGACACCCTGAGAAGCCAGGCTCTCGCACCCTGGGGGTGTCCTGCCGAGAACAGACGCAGGGCAGGGAGCCGTGGGTGCCTTGGGCAGGCAGTCCGGGCACTTGGGGAGCCCAGCAGGTCTGCTCCCAAGAACGCCAGGCTGGACATGGCCGGCCACAGTGCGGGGCCAGCACCACGTTTGTCCTCGGCGCATGGACGGGGTCCTGGCCCGGCCCCGCCTTCTTTCCCTCCACTGCCACTCCTGTCACGTTCTGTGCCCTCCCAGGGATTTACTGCCACGGCTGCCCCCAACTTTTTTCTTTGTGGCACTGGGGATTGAACCCTGAGCCCTCACACTGAGCTGCCTTCCCAGCCTTATTAATTTTTGAGATGTGGTCTGGCCAAGTCACTCAGTTGCCCAGGCTGGGCTCCAACTTGTCATCCTCCTGCCTCAGCCTCCCAGCATGCTGGGATCACAGATGTGCGCCACCACACCCAGCTGAGTTTTCTTTTTTTTTAAGACCTACATCACTAAAAAGAAAGTGTGTCTGAACAGACATCTGACAAGGGGCCTGCTCCTGGCCGGGAGACTGTGCTCTCTCCTTGCATCTCAGCAGAGTAGGTTTGGCAGGCCTGGGTCCCCCAGCTGCTGAGCAAAGGGTTGGCTCCCCTTGAGGCGACAGCGGCCTGGTGGAGAAGTGGCCGTGCTGAGCCGCAGGGTGGTACCTGTCACCCCAGCACTGCAGGAGGCTGAGGCGAGAGGTGCCCCAAGTCTAGCTGGGGCAACTTAGCCGGCCCCTGTCCCCAAAATCAGAGCTGCAGAGAGGGCTCCTGTGAAAGCCCTGGGCTCGATCCTGAGCATAAAGATGGGGTGTGCTGTTGGACCCCATTTCTTCGAGGCACAGATACAGTGTGAGCCAGACAGGACAGCTGGGCCTGCTGGCTGTGCCGACGGCACCCACAGCCCCGACTGAGCACTGCAGAGTGGATGGGCCGGTTTCACCCAGGAGCAGTCTCTGTGGTCAGCTTGGTGTCTCACCTGCCACCGTAACCATCACAACCCAACACGTGCAGGGGACAAAGGGTGAGTCCCCGCCTAGACTCAGGGTGCTGCTCCTGAAGCCCTTTCCTGCCCAGCATTAGAAAATAGTCTCTTAGCTGGGTGTGATGGAGTGTGAAGGCTGAGGCAGGAGGATCTCTGCAAGTTGGAGGCCAGCCTGGACTACACAGGGAGTTCAAGGCCAGCCTGAGATGCACTTTTCTGTGTGGCTGCAGTTTTCACACTCAGAACAAGTTCACGGTTCAGACTGCACCTCTTTTGCATTGGCTTTGGGAAGAATCATGTGGCATGATCTCCCTGCTCACGGTGCCATGTTTATGTGCTGCCTAGTGACTTTCACTTTTAGTTTCTAAGAACCTCATGGCCCCTTCTGAGATGGCCATGGTGGCCTATATGTCAGTGGCCTCGCACTGACACCTCCCGGGGACCCGGAGCACAGAGAGCACAGGCCCTACCTGCCCCCGGGTCCAGGGGGCCCAGAGGGCAGCTGTGTCTGCAGCCCACGAAGCTCAGCCTGGGTCATGCTGACTCCAGGGAGGAGGGGAGCAGGGCCCGCAGTGGACGTCACGGGGCTTTGTCTTTGTGGGTACAGGGGATTGAGCAGGGCCTTCACCCTGAGCTCCAACCCAAACCTTTTTTATTTTGGGGGGACAGGGTCTCACTAAGCTGCTATAGTGAGCAGCCTGGGCTCAAACTCAAGATCCTCCTGCCTCAGCCTCCCAGAGTGCTGGGATGACAGGCCTGCGCCACCCCCAGTACACAGGAAAATCAAGTGGTGGTGACCAGATGGGCCTGAGGAGGAGGAGGAGAAGGAGGAGGAAGATGCACCCCCGGTCAGCTGTGACCCAGCACCACACAGGAAGGGGGACAGAGGACCAGACTCTGTGCTCACCCATGGAGCTGAAGGTGACCTTCTTAGGGTCCAAAGCAGCAGCTTCTGCAGGTGGTGTCACCTCCGGTGGCAACACCGCTCCACACTCAGAATGGAACCCCATGCCCATGGGAACTTCACCACGCCCTCACACGAACTGTGCCTCACGATGCTAATGAGTGCTGGGGAGCCTGCCATCACATCTGCAGCCAGAGCTCCTGCCTCGTGTGGACAAGAGCTGCCCCTCGAGGAAGAAAGAGGCAGTGGGAGGTCTGAGGGCAGATACATCTGGGGCCATTTCTAGCTTTCTAGTACCACTTCCTATGAATATAAAGTGATAGGCTGCCACCGGCCACTTGCCTAGCTACTTGGGCTGTCTTGGTCGGGCAACCTGGCTCCCCAGTGTCAGGCGCGAGCACTTATCACTGTGACTCTCATGTGAAGGCCAAACTGGCCTTGGGCAGGCTGGACACAGCTGCAACATTGGGTCAGGGCCATGTGCCTGCCTCTGCCGTCCAGAGTCCAGGATGCCTGGGGACTCTGGGGCACAGCGGTCACTGTGGGGAACAGGAAAACGGGGTGAGGACACAGTGACCCGTGGTTGCTGTGGCCAGGGCCTGACGGAGCGGGAGCCTTCTGCACAGCACAGCTAGGAAGGTGCAGGGGCTGCGGGGGACACACGGCTGCAGAACAGTCTCTCCACCTCACTGTGCGCCCACGGGCAGGGGCGGCAGTGTACCCCTCAGAGACGCCGGTGACCGAGGGGCCGTGTCTGTCCAGTGTGGC